CAATGTAATGCAAAAAAGCGGAAGGGAGATATTTGACAACCTAATATTAAGAGCAAAACTTTCAGAGAATTTTTTTTAACAATTTGGAATTATTTGAGCCCCAAGGAGCATGAAAATTCAAAAACATCCATATTAAGGACCACCTTGATATATATAATATTATTTTTGGCATAGCTTAGTAGCTCTTTGGCAATAATAAATCTCACATTACATATTTTATATTTCAAATTTAACATATATCAGCATTTGAATGAATTTTTAATCACTAAATTTAAATTTCTAGAATTATCAACTATCAGCAGTATATTTTATTTCTTACATTTGATATTTCATTCTCTGTCATATCTTAGTTGCTTTTTGTCAATAATAATTTTCAAATTATATTTTTCTTACTCATAATTTAACATATATCATATATTCAAATTTTAAGTTAAAATTTTAAGTGAATTGACATTTACAATCTTTTCCCAACTGTCAAACAATAAGTTGTTTTTTATATTTTTTTCTTATTTCTACATTATTACCATATATTTTTTAGTTCATTATCACTATCTTATTTCGGTTGACAAAGTGCAAAATGATTTATCAAAATTTGAATAGCCGTTTAGGATCAACACGCGCACAGAAGATTTTATATATATATATATATATATATATATATTAATTTTTTACTTCAAGAATATCAAAAAATTGTAGAAATAACAAAATTTACATGTTACATGTTAGTAGACCATATTACTAAATTTTTGACCCATTGTCAATGAGCAACTACTGAGTAACGGACATTATTAGTGTAAATATGTGTCAAAATATTTTAATAATTTCATTCGAAATATATCAGTTATCAATACATTTTTGTCTGAGGAACTTTAAAAATGACAATAAAAGGTTAAACTTTAATTTTATTTAAGAGTTACCTTTTCTATTATATGAGTCTATGAGCAGGTCCAATTTAGGTATCAATATTGGCACAAACCACATATTTGAAAATGAAACCAATAGGCTCAATGAAAAATAAAACTCAGATTCCAGTATCTGAAAAAAAAATTATAAGTAAATATATGCAAACTAAAAATATCAAATTAAAGAAATTTTTCCGGTCTCGAAAAAATATTTACAGATTTAGCCACAACACATATAAAATACTTATGATGTTAAACCATAAAGTTTCATAACTGAAATCAATAAATATTTCAATGATCTCCAATAATAATTTTTCTAAATATTTCCCATCGTCTTGAAGTACACCATTGACGTGTTCCAATACTTTATGTTACGATATAATTCGAGGCAGTAAGTAATAAATTATTGAGTTAATTTTGTTTGGTACATCACACAAGATTTATTAAATTGATTACTCATTTTATTAACGTCAAAATAAGTCGTCAATATTTATGTAACTATTGATTTAAAAATATATTGGTCTATATATAGAATCAAGTACGTCATTGTTATTTTGATATTTGTGCCCTGAAAGAAAGTTCAATACAGTGAAAGAATTATTTTTTTAATTTTTTATATTTATTTGAAATTTGAAATGTACTATGTTATTATGTACCATGCACATTGAAATAGTAAAAGTTGAAGCAAAATCATATATCGTGTGATAAAACGAATGGAATAATTTAAATTGCGTCTTCTCAAATGAATTGTGCTTTGGCGTCATTTGCTTCCGTGACTTGTCAATTTTAACTAACTAATAATAATTACTTTAAAATAATTATTAAATACAATTTCTGATTAATTATTTGAAAATAGCAAAATATTTTATGTGCAAAATTTATTTCTTGTGATATTTTTATATTTTTGCGATATAATGCGAAGGAATTTTCACTGATTTTTGTTTTTAAAATCGAGAAAATAGATAGTAAATGCATTAAAATTAATATTTGGACATCTATATAAGTAGGAGGAGAAAAAATATACATTGTTAGGGGTATGCACCTATTCGTAATATTGATAAATAAATATTATTATAAATGTAACAACATATATTTCTATAGATGTGAAAAACTCATTCTTGAATATATATTGTGACCCTATATTTAACTTTCTATAGGGTAAGTTATAGCAATCGCCAAAAAATCGAACAAGAAATTTTTTATATATCTTTACGTTTCAAAGGTTTCTGAACATTTTGGCATACCTTACAATAAGAAAAAATTGATGTATGTGTGTGTGTGTGCGGATACAAATTTTCGTCGACGATTTCAGGAACACGAGTCAACCGATTTGAATAATTTAAAAAAAATCGATTCGTATTGATAAGGAGACGTGCTGATTAATTTTTGGTAAAGGCAGGTCAAGCCGTTTCGAAGATACGGAGCAAAAAGTGCCAAAAATAGTAATTGATTTTTTGAAAGAACGGAGTGTCTGATTAGTATGATTCAAAAATTTATTTATTTGTATTAACGAAATGAAGAACTGATGAAATTTTTGGAAAGGCACGCCCAAAATCGGCGTCGTTTCGGCGATCCAATAAAAAAAATGAAAATAAATGCCATTTTGCCGACAAAAATGATCATAAGACATTTGCACATCAAATTATCACACATTTTATAGATATTTCAATAATAATAACAGATTTTGTTCACTGTTCTATGGGTTCCGTACCAATGTTTATACGTTATACTGCGGCGCGGCTCCCACGCGCTTTGATATTTGGTTTTTACGCAGCTAACGTATCGCGATTGCTTTGAAAAAAAAAGTTCAAAATATCTTAAAGTATAAAAAAATTAAATCTTTCTAAAAGCTCAATTATTTGCAAAAATTTTAAAAATCTCAAAATAGGTTATTTTTTAGGGTTCTAAAAGAAATTTTTGGTACGGGAAGTACCAGCAATTTGCCTTAAGGCACGATGCCCTGCACCACTAGTCTATACTATCTTTACATATGTTCTATACTATCTTTATATTTATTCTATATTATATATGTATATATGTATATTCTATACTATCATCTGTTTAAATATATATCTTATTCTATCCATTTTTCTTTTTTGCTCCTTAAAACTAATTCTTCTTCAACCATCATTCTTCTTTTTTTCTGAAAATGTGCTTTTCTTAAATTCTAATCTTGGTTTTCTTCTTATGTACTTCTAACTTTATTCAAATTTATCTCAAAAATTTAAATTCTATTTAATTTCAAAATAATTTTTAAATTCTACTTTTTACTTCTATTTCTATGCAATTTCAAATCAGCAGTTCAAATTCTATTCAATTTTTATGTAATTTCCAAAAATCGATTCCAGGATCGCCGGCGTTTGAGTCGGGCACGCTACTGACTGAGCCTTTCAATTTTGACAAATACTAAAAAAATGTATTATTATTACTTATTACCATAAATAACATATTTATCCATTCACTGATTAAGAAAGAATTCAAGTTCGTCATTGTTTTGAATTTAATGTCATCACAAGAATCGTAGTTATCTATTTACACATTAATTTAATAACACCATCATTGACGCTAATGAACAAATTTGTTTATAAATATACATCGGTTATCAATAATACCTACACATTTGAAATAAGTCTCAATGAATAATATTTTGTAAACAAATTCATTGCTGGTTGTTATATTTATTGATTATTGCTGTGATAAAGTGGAATAATTGAAAACTATCTTTTGGTGAATTGATTGATTGATTTTTGTAATTGGGTTTGTAGTACTAACTTATAACTTATTCTGTGTTATATTATATTATATATTATATATATTATAATTAACAATTTTGATATTGGAGACGAAAAGGTTACCATCGATAAAATTAGATGCGTTAAATTATTAATTGGTTCTTACATAATCACTAATTGGCAAGATTACCATTAGTTACCAATTTACTATTAATTTTGAAATGTTACCATCAATAAAATTGGATGCACTAAATTATCAATTGGTTCTTGCATAATCACTAATTGGCAGGATTACCATTAGTTACCAATTTACTATTAATTTTATTATATTACATAGTACAGTTGGTCTGCTAGTTAAACATGCACTAAAGTTTCTATTTCTCCAATCCATAAATTCAATCCATTTATCAATCATTTAAAATAATAGTGCGAATAAAAATGTCACATAATTCTTGTCGTGAAATTAAATTTTATAGGAATGCAGTAATATTGAATTTTTTTGCATATATGGTTTTACTTTGCATTTTTCTCTCGTAAATAATAGATATATCATTTAAACGTTCATTTTCAGAATAAAACCGTAAGCGGTGAATAATAAAAGTCCTTTAAATTTATATCAGTTTCGTTCCGAATGGAATTTTATACGATTTCCGTTTATTGCATATAAAATATTTTATTCGAACTATTATTCTGAATTTAATTTAATGACAGCTGTACTGTCGGATATAGTTTCAACTGAAACTTCTTCACTTCAAAAATTTCTACTCAAAAAATTGGATCATGAAATAAAATAAAATTTGAGAATATGAACTCAAAATTTAGAAATCTCAATATGATACAAAAAATATTAATAAAAAAATGGCTATTACAAAATCGGGGTTCGTAGCAGGAGGGTAAAAATTTAGGGCTTTAGTTGATTGAGGAGAATGAATTATATTTAGAAACACTGTTTAGATAAAACGTTCTGAGAAAATTTAAACAAGACAATTTATTTTTTTATCAAAATAACGGATCTTCAGTGTCTTCAATAATAATAATAATTAACTTTCCGTAGGGCAATAGTAATCGCAAAAAAATCGAAAATGAAAATTTTTATATATCTTTACGTTTCAAAACCTTCTGAACATTTTGGCATACCTTAGAAAAAATTTATGTACGTGTGAGTGTGTGTGCGTGTGTGTATGTATGTACGGATACAAATTTTCGTCGACGATTTCGGGAACACGGATGAAGCGATTTGAATAATTCAAAAAACATTCGATTCGTATTGATAAGGAGACGTGCTGATTAGTTTTTGGCGAAGGCAGGTCTAGCCGTTCCGAAGACACGGGGCAAAAAGTGCCAAAAACTTTAATTCCGTTTTTTAGAGAACGGATCGTCCGATTTGAATAATTCAAAAAACATTTTATTTGTATTGAATGCGTGAAGAACTGTGGAAGAACTGTGGAAAAGTGAAGAACTTTGGCAAGGCAGGTGCAACGACTTCGGAGATATGGAGGAAAAAGTAAAAAAATGAGCCATTTGGCGGTCAAAAATAAACATTAGGCATTTGCACATCAAATAATTAGATATTTTATAGAGATTTTAACAATAAGTATGAATTTTGTGTACATTCCTATGGGTTCCGTACCAATGTTTACGCGTTAGACGGCGACGCGGCGCTTGCGCGCTTTGATATTTCGTCTTTATGCAGTTAAAGCAGTACGATTGCTTTGAAAAAAAAAGTTCAGAATTTCCAAAATATTTCAAAATAAATGATTTAAGATGATTTAATATGGTTCGAAATTCTATCAAAAGTTTCAAATCATTGATCAACTCTTATTGATTATTGTTGATTATTTTTAATTACTCGAATTTTGAATTGCGGTACGGGAAGTTCCAGCAATTTGCCTTAAGGCACGATGCCTTATTTGCCTTGAGACAGAATTTGACTTACAGCTAGTTATTTTCAATTAATTAATTAATTAATAATTTAAATAATTTAGCTAAAATTTTTTGAATCATCTCTATTGGCGTGTCTAGTTATTTTATGTGTGAATCAGTACCTCATCAAGACGCTCTATAGATTAAATATTCTACGTATTAATATATTAATATAATATACAAATAGTGCATTATTTTTCCGTCTATTAATAGATCCATATTGTAAATTATTTTCCACTATTTATTTACTTAATTATTCATTGCATCTCGTCTATTACGGTGTGTCAAACGCTTTGACGCAGTCCCTAGAAAGTGTTATTGATGCCTCTAATTGAAAATAAATACGACTCATTATCGAACACTTAAATTATTTGTTTTTCTCATTGTCGAGAAATCTTATTAACATATTTATACATTTAGTTGTGTAGAATTTCAATTCAAATGCGTCACAAAATATGTGTGCGTGACACGGACAAATTTTCCCAAGTTTTTATCTTTATAACCTATTTGTATTCGGTATTTTGGCGGTGGAAATGTAATGAAACTTTTGAAATATTTCTGTTAATGGCTATGTTATAGATTACGTTAACAATAAATGCATTCATAAGTAAAATGATAAAAAAATTACGGATGTGTGTTGTCTACATTTTCAATTTTTTATAATTTTTTAGATCAATTCTCGAAGAATAATTTTAGAAAGATAAAAAAATCTGTAGGTTCGGTCAAGATTTGCTAATAAGCCTTAAATTTTGTTAATAATTTAAAAAATAATAATTTTAGAAAACGATATAGGTTTTAAGAAGTGAATAACAACTAATTAAATAGTACCTAATAATTATAATGAGCCATCATCATAATTCTTACGACGTCGCTATCAGGAGATCAATTCATAAAAAAACATATTGTTTCGTTGGTAGTTTTTTCTAGTTTTGAGCTCTACTGAACATAGTTGGATAGCTTTTTGTTTGATGCATATATTTGTTGTGATGTAGTTCGTTTAGTTTGGACAATGTAATTACTGAAAGTCGAATTGGGCCTTTCTGCCCCGCTCTATCCTATTATTCACTAATTATAAATATCTGATTCTTCACGCAAAAAGCGGTCCAGATAATTTAGAATTGTATTCATAACTATTATTGGATAACGAAGTAATAAACTGTTCTTACAAATGTCATATTACTTATTAACTTTCCGTAGGGTAAGTTATAACAATCGCAACAAAATCGAAAATGAAAATTTTTATATATCTTTACGTTTAAAGACCTTCTGAACATTTTGGCATACCTTAGTGTGTATGTGTGTGTGCGGATACAAATTTTCGTCGACGATTTCGAGAACCCGGATGAAGCGATTTGAATAATTCAAAAAACATTCGATTCGTATTGATAAGGACACGTGCTGATTAGTTTTTGGCGAAGGCAAGTCTAGCCGTTCCGAAGATATAGGGCAAAAAGTGCCAAAAACGGTAACTCAGTTTTTAAGAGAACGGAGCGTCCGATTTGAATAATTCAGAAAACATTTTACTTGTATTAACAAGATGAAGAACTGATCAAATTTTTATGAAAGCAGATAAAAATAAGTTAAAAAAAAAATGTCATTTGGCGGTCAAAAATGTTAATTGGACATATGTACATCAAATTATCAGATATTTTATAGAGATTTTAATAATGTGTACACGTTTTGTTTAATTTATTAATCATGAGGGCAGGTCTAGTGGTTTCGGAGATCTAGTAAAAAAAAGTCATTTGGCGGTCAAAATTGAACATTAGACATATGCACATCAAATTTTAAGATATTTTATAGACATTTTAACAATAAGTATAAATTTTGTTTACATTCCTATGGGTTCCGTACCAATGTTTATGCGTTAAACGGCGACGCGGCGCTTACGCGCTTAGATAATTTGTCTTTATGCAGTGAAAGCAGTACGATTGCTTTGAAAAAAGTTCAGAATTTCCAAAATATTTCAAAATAAATTTTTCTTCAAAAAGTCTTTTTTTTTTCAAAAAATAGTAAATTTTTGTTTCTCAAAAATATAATTTTTTCAGAGTAAATTTTTTTCAAAAATGTTAATCTTTTTTAAAAAAAATAATTTTTGGTACGGGAAGTTCCAGCAAGTTTTGCCTTCAGGCACGATGTCATGCGCCCCACTAGTTTACAACATATTTAGTATACGTGACAAATTGACAATAGCTCGATTTAATATTTAATTTCTATGACAAATTAATCAATACTATAATATTCAAACTATATAATAAGTCACACCATGACATCATACGGTAAATCTATTGTTGTTAGTTATAAAACTATTTTGGTTTAGAATTAACGACATAATTTTATTGTTCTTAATTAAGATGTAACTAGCTGTAAGTGGAATTCTGTCTTGAGGCAATTATGGCATCGTGCCTTAAGGCAAATTGCTGGAACTTCCCGTACCGTAACAAAATGTTCGAGGTATACTGAATGTTTTCAAATAGATTATTATAAATATTGTAACATTGTTTAATATTTAAAAGAATTATATAAACTGAATTGCAAAGTTGAAATTATTTGTTTAAAGTATATTAGAACTATAGTCAGAATTAAAAATAAAATCTGAATTATTTTCGATATACAAAAAATTAAAAAAAAAAAAAGTTGAATCAAAATTTGTTTTCCAAAATCAATTATTTTGTTAAGACAAGCAGAAAGTTCTTTGAATCATTTAAATCGGACGCTTAGTTCTCTCAAAAACTGCCATTTTTTACATATTTAGCTCCGTATCTTTGAAATGGCTGGGCCTGCCTTTGCCAAAAACTGATAAACACTTCTCCCAATCATTACTAATTGAATGTTTTTTAGATCATTCAAATCGGATACTCCGTTCTCTCAAAAAGTCGATTTCTATTTTCTGCATTCTTTGCTCCGTATCTCCGAAACGGCTGGACCTGCCTTTGCCAAAAACTGGAAATTTGTATCCATACATACATACACACACACACATCCATTTTTTCTGAGTTATGCCAAAATGTTCAAAAACCTTCAAAACGTCGAAAAATGTAAAAATTTTCAATTCCGATTTTCGGCCCATTACTATAACTACGGGAAGTTAATAATTACTATTATTGTAATTCATTATTTGTGTTCACGTTAAAATTTTATAGTACTATTAACAACATCTTAATTTTTTTTTCAGAATCTAAACGCACAGCGTAATCATGAATCAGAGCCCTCAAGCTCAGCACCACCATTCCTCCTGTTCGTCCGTGGCGACGCCTCCGGCCTTGCTGTCGCCTCGGATCGCCGTGTCGCCGCCGAGCGATCAGCCACCGGCAAGCGCCAGTGCCGCCTTAGCCTTCCAATTCCCGCTGACGGTCGAAGACGGCGGAGGGACGAACGGCAACCACCGCACACCCGCTGGCGGTTGGCGGCGGAGGTTGTCGCGGAATAGACCGCGGAGTTCGTCGGTTAGCCGGTCTACGGATGCTTTAGTGCAGGTTAGAATCATTATAATAGAATAGAAGTTACATTATTAACTTCCTGTAGGGTAGGCTATAGTAATCGCAAAAAAATCGAAAATGAATTTCTTTATATATTTTTACGTTTCAAAGGTTTTTGAACATTTTGGGTGTGTGTATATGTAAGTGTGTGTGTGCGGATACAATTTTGTCGACGGTTTCGGAAACACGGTTCAACCGATTTCAATTATCCAAAAAACATTCGATTGCTGTTGATAAGGAGACGTGCTGATTAGTTTTTGGCATAGGCAGTTCTAACCGTTCCGAAGATATGGGACAAAAAGTGCCACAAGCAGTAACTCAGCTTTTAAAAGAACGGAGTGTCCGATTTCATTAATTCAAAAAACATTTACTTGTACTGGCAAGATGAAGAACTGATTAAATTTTTGGGAAGGCAGGTCCAGCGGTTAAGGACTCTCGATAAAAATAAGTTAAAACTAGCTGTAAGTGGAATTCTGTCTTGAGGCAATTATGGCATCGTGCCTTAAGGCAAATTGCTGGAACTTCCCGTACCGTAACAAAATGTTCGAGGTATACTGAATGTTTTCAAATAGATTATTATAAATATTGTAACATTGTTTAATATTTAAAAGAATTATATAAACTGAATTGCAAAGTTGAAATTATTTGTTTAAAGTATATTAGAACTATAGTCAGAATTAAAAATAAAATCTGAATTATTTTCGATATACAAAAAATTAAAAAAAAAAAAAGTTGAATCAAAATTTGTTTTCCAAAATCAATTATTTTGTTAAGACAAGCAGAAAGTTCTTTGAATCATTTAAATCGGACGCTTAGTTCTCTCAAAAACTGCCATTTTTTACATATTTAGCTCCGTATCTTCAAAATGGCTGGGCCTGCCTTTGCCAAAAACTAATAAACACTTCTCCCAATCATTACTAATTGAATGTTTTTTAGTTCATTCAAATCGGATACTCCGTTCTCTCAAAAATTCGATTTCTATTTTCTGTACTCTTTCCTCCGTATCTCCGAAACGGCTGGATCTGCCTTTGCCAAAAACTAATCAGCTCTTTTCCCTATCAATAGGAATCGAATGTTTTTTGAACCATTCAAATCGGTTGATCCGTGCGCCCGAAAACGTGGGCGAAAATTTGTATCCATACATACATACACACACACACACATACGCACACACACACACACACACACACATCCATTTTTTCTGAAGTATGCCAAAATGTTCAGAAACCTTCAAAACGTCGAGAAATGTAAAAATTTTCAATTCCGATTTTCGGCCCATTACAATAACTTACCCTACGGGAAGTTAAAAATGTCATTTGGCGGTCAAATATGTTTATTGGAAATATGCACATCAAATTATCAGATATTTTATAGATATTTTAATAATTTGTACACATTTTGTTTAAATTTTTTCGGGTTTAGTACCAAGATTTTTAATTACGGTACGGGAAGTTCCAGCAATTTGCATTGAGGCACAATACCATGCACCCCACTAGTCTTAATTTTACGAATTCTTCTTTCTCCTTCTTCTTTCTTCTCTTCTTTTTATGAATCCACCTCTTCCTATCTTCTAGAATCTAGACCCATCTTCTTTCTTCTACCAACTTCCAACACTATTACTTTTTCTTCTAATTCTGTTGAACATTTTCACATGATACTGGGATGTTCCATACTTCTTACACATTTACATTCTTTATATACTAATTACAAGTAGGTTATCATACAAATATTTGTCATTTTTTTGGAAAGTGTAGGGAATCGGACATAGCACATGTTACTGCATGAATTCTTCGTTATGATGATTATTAAATTCATATAATATATGAAAATTTTAATTTAGTCTGTTTAGATGTGCAATCCTTTCATAAAATCTGTTTTTTCGGTAAAATAGTAAATAAAAAAGTGAATTAAGTTATAAAGGGTAATTTTGTCTGCTGATTAATATTTCTGACAAAATACCAGATCAAAGTTATATACAGTGTTATTTCTGTTAGAAATGTACCCATAAAATTCATATTTAGCTTAGGTTAAATAACATAGGCTATTATTTCGTAAAATCCCTTTAAAGTTAAATATATGACATTGGACCTGTTTACCCTCTATGAACCCTAAGGGGCAAAAAAAAAACAAGTGACAAATTTACAAAAAAACGGAAAAAATAACCAATATAGTCATATTAGTTGATTGGTTGAATGACTTTCACAGTAGAATTGCTTAGTCAAAGTGGATTTTCGTGCCCCACCCTTTCGTATTACAATTTTAACAAAACTCTGCAGGTCCTTGATTCAAATTGATTAAGGCATGAGTTGGCAACACTCGAGATCTTGTTCATCTGCTCATGATTGCAGAAATAATTTTGCACTATTGATTGAACTTCTACATTTCTCAACCCACCCATCAGTTATCTCTTAGAATAATATAAGTTGTATAATTTTATCATTTGACCTATCGACAATATTGCGAACATCAAACGGCACTGCCGTGAAACAATGCGGAGTAATGAGAAATTGAAGTACAATTGTAGGTAATTAGAATAGTGGATGCGTAATGGAATTGAAAATAATTAACGTAATGGAAGGACCGTTACACTAGTAGCAATTTACGTAATATTAATTAGAAATGAATTTAATATTAAATTATGCCATTTCAAATGGAATGTAATTATGAATATAAATATGTAATGCACCCAAGCAACTTTTTCCGACATAATCATGTTTGAGAATTAAATTTTTTAAATTTAATATTGATGATTTTATTAAATTGTTTTAAAATGATATTGAAACTAGTGGGGCGCATGGCATCGTGCCTTAAGGCAAATTGCTGGTACTTCCCGTACCAAAAATTATTTTTTTTTTAAAAAGATTAACATTTTTTAAAAAAAAAATACTCTGAAAAAATTAGATTGTTGAGATACTACAAATTTTTGACAAAAATTTACTTTTTTTTTGAAAAAAAAAGACTGAAAAAAAAATTCTTTTCAAATACTTTGGAAATTCTGAACTTTGTTTCAAAGCTTACTGCTTTAACTGCATTGAGACTAAATATCCAAGCGTGTAAGCGCCGCGTCGCCGTCTAACGGATAAACATTGGTACGGAACCCATAGGAATGTAAACAAAATTTATACTTATTGTTAAAATCTCTAATAATAAAATATCTGATAATTTTATGTGTGTATGTCTAATGATAATTTTTACTAGATCTCCGAAACCGATAGACCTGCTGAATTGAAAATTTGATCAGTTCTTCATCTTGTTAATACAAGTAAAATGTTTTTTGAACTATTCAAATCGGACGGGAAGTTAATAAAAATTCCTTTTATGCTTGTTTAGATGTAGCATAAATATTTTCATGTTTGTTTCATCTACTTACTAAGCCTTGATTTCTTGCAGATTTTTACATAGTTGTTAATAAGTGTTTGAGAAACCATACCAGTGCTAGACAAATGTGCATAATATCTATGATTTTCGAATTTTATGCATAGAATGTTCTTCAATTATATTAATATCTATAATAATTGTTTGCATTACAGTACAAGTAAAATTAAAAACTTCCCTATACGTAATCAATAAGAATTAAGATTCAGCTATTAATATTTTTTATCAGATAAATTATTCCGTTTTTTATTTCGAAATATTTTTTTTGTTTTCACTAAATATTAATGAAGGCGATGTCTAATTGATGTCTTCCAAAAATAAAAATTTAATTGTCTAACACATTTCATTACATCAATTTCTGGTTTATAAAATGTATTTTATTTATAGGTAGATGTAATCAGTAGCTGTCTACGAAACTCGAAACCTACACACGCATGATCAAATATATCAGCATACAAAGTTTCGAAAAAAAATTTGAAAACTTATTTATAAAAAAGGGGCTCGATCGATTTATACCAAAAACTAATCAACGCCATTCCCTAACAATATCTTCCAAATTTTTAAAATCGGTTCAAGATTGTGAGCTGAAATGTGGACAAAAAATTTTATATTTTTATTAATTATAAAGAAACGAGTTGACCTACATCAAATGGCTTTTAAAATTATGAAATCTGTCCAGATATTTTTGAGAAAACGTCGACGAAGGTGCAAAATCGACTCACATATACACACATCATGAGTACATACTTTTTCCAAATTTGGTCTCATTCGATTCAAAATGACTTGAATCGACAAAAAGTAAAATTAGCAAATCAAAACGAAATATTATAATTGAAATTATTCTATACTATTACTGTAAATGTTTTTAATGAAACTTGAAAAAGTAAGGACTTTTTAATAATATTGAAATTTAATATCAATTTTATCACTTCAAAAAACAAAAAAAACGGATTTTATGAAATGATTGCACATCTATACAGACTAAATTAAAGTTTTTATATATTATATGAATTTAATAATCTTCATAACTAGGAATTCAGGCAGGAGCAAGCTATGTCCGATTTACTATTTTACCGAAAGCTCAGATGGTTCTTTTTACTCCACCCACATGTAAGCTTTTATAGGGGTTATATAAATCTGTTGAAACTAACCTAAAAATAACAATACATCTTATAATACAATTAAATAACGTTTACTTCAAAAATATATTAAGGTCTCGTAAACTAAACAACAGTACTCACAATCAAAAAACTAACAACGAAAGAAAATATCTTTGTTATCGATTTTCAAACATTGCCTTTTATCTCCTGATTCGTAAAAATTAAGGTGGTGACAGGTTGTACCTCTACTTTCAAATATTGTTGGTAAAAAAATCTTAACTTGAGTTTTTTTAGATCTGTTTAGACATCTTTTTACTTTTAAGCATCCCTTTGCTCTCTATCTACATTAATTTCGTACGTGGGTGTTCGAATGTGAATAAATCGAAGTATCTTTTTCGATAAGTGATCAATTTTCTTCTTTCAACTACGATACCTGTCATTTGCATATTTCGTGTTTTAATAGAATGAAAATGAACGCAAAACGTAAGATGACTCTAGTAAGAATGACGTATTTCGCTAGTCGCATTATGACGTCAGTGGGAGATAAATTTTCTATATAAATTACTCAGCATGTTTGCACCATTTGCATTGCCTTGCAAATCGTAGTAATGTGATACTGTAGTGTCATTTTATATTATTTTGAAACTGAATACATCGCATTACCGTAATGTAACGTTGCATTAAAGTATTCATATATTTCTGAACGTCAAACAGCATGTTTGAGTTTGTAAGTTGAGTATTTCCCGTATACGCAACGAAAACTAAATTGTGCTAGGAAAAGAAGCGATAAATATAGTTTTATAAGGGAATGAGATTTTCTGATTTGTATCACTTTTCGAAGGAGGGGTTTGTTTTCGCGAAAAAAAACGATTTGCTAATATTATGTTTTCTCGAAGGTTCAAGTCGTTCTGAATTGAATGAGATCAAATTTTAAAGAAGTATGAGTTTGCGTGTGTGAGTCAGTTTTTAACCTTTTGTCGACATTTTTGCAAAAACGGCTGGATCGATTTCCAAAATTTCAAATTCATTTGTTGCAACTTTATAAGGACTACCATTTGTCGGTTTTGCGCGACGATCAGATAATGCGTTTTTTTGTAATTGGCAACAATGTATAACAAATTTTGCCCACTGTTTAGCCCACAATTTTGTACCGATTTTAATAGTTCAAAAGCTGTTCGAAAATTATTGGTTTTCTAAATTTTTGGTAAAAATTAGTACGCCTTTTCCTTTGTAATTAACTGTAGAACTAGTTGGTATTGGTATTTAGCCTTGAGGCAAGTTACATGAACTTCGATATGTGTAAATAATCGATTTAATCAATAAAAATAAATTAATTTATGAGTGATTAAAAGTGTTCCGAGTAAGAAAATAACTCATTTTCTCAAACTTTGATGAATTTTTATAATTAAACTACTTGTCGTAAGGCCGTAATATTTCAGTAAGTTCTATAAGACCAGGATATATATCGCCAAAAAAAGTTCCATGAAAATCGGCTTAAATTTTTTTTTCAACAGTTAATTACAAGAAAACGGCTCGATAGATTTTCAACTAAATCTAATCAGTATAATTCCCAAATGATATCTTTCGAACAGTTTTTCATTTTTGAAAATTGATTTGGTAGTATGAGCTTAAATGTGGACGAAAAGTTTAACACTTTTTTCCAAATTACAAAGACATGGCTCGGCCGATTGCTGCACAAAACTAAGAAAAAATAATCCACAATAAAATACATCGATTGGCTTTTAAAATTTTGAAATCGGTTCAGGCGTTTTTGATCAAACGTCGATGAAAGTTATAATTTTGACAAACGCCAAAAAAACGACACAATTTTTGCAAACTTTGACGATTTTTTAAAATTAAACTATGGTATCTACCGTCAAAAAAAAATCATGAAAATCGTCGAAAAAATTTTTTTTAACACCTTATTACAAGAAAACGGCCCGGTCGATCTTTACCAAAAACTAATCAGGTCGATTCCCAACCAATATGTTCCGAACAGTTTTCGAATTTTCAAAATCGATTCAGAATTGCGGGCTAAAACGTGGACGAATTTTTTTTTACTTTTCTGCGATTTACAAAGAAACGGCTCGGCCGATCGTCGCGCAAAACTTAGAAACGCTAGTCCTCATTGAGATACATCGAATGGCTTTTAAATTTTTGAAATCGGTGCAGCCGTTTTTGAGAAAACGTTAATTTGCGACAAAAAATCTGTTCACATACACACACACATACTTTTTCCAAATTTGGCCCCATTCGATTCAGAACGGCGTGAAACGCCGAGAAAACATAAAATTAGCGAATCGAATTTTTTGATGAAAACATAAACTTCTTCTTTGGGAAGCTGAAAAGCAAGAATAAAAAAAGTAAATACTTAGACAATGTAGGATATTTCGAATATTTGATTTATTTCTTCACTCGCCCTCGGATAATAAAAGTTCCACGAAGATACCAAAAATTGTCAGTTATTCTATTTTTAAATTTGTTGCTGTGTCCGAAATTTGATTCAACACCCTTTGTAAGGGTAGTTACATAATATTTCAATCGTTATATACGATGAATGCTATAGCATTCACGTCGAGAACTGCGCTTCTATTTTACGGAAAAATATGTGATAATACAAAAATACCTAAAGAATCAGTTAGTCATTATTTTGATAGTTATAATAATGACAAAAACGTAAGGTTATATAAAAGTAAATTCTAAATAATTGACGTTTGAAATTTGAATGCTATAGGATTTAAATTATTTTGCATCACAATGAAAATGAATGCTATAGCATTCACGTATTAAGATTTTACAGCATTATGCAATCAAAGTAACTTACTTCAACTTGTCAAAGTACGCAGATAGGAGAACAAGCTTAACCGAGAATCCGCTCCTAAGTTTTGGCTCAAACCATCGAAGTTTCAAGAAATTTGGACAGTACTTCGCTTTAAGATATCTGCCTTAGTTATAAATGCATTCTAACTAACTTAATCTACTTAACTTAATTGTATAAATAATTATTTTCAGGCTAGCGCCCTGGCTCTGACCCAACCACTAAGCATCGATATCCAATTATCCGGACCTCCACCCGCTCGGGCGTCTTCGGCCTCCGACCTGCCATGTTCGGCGTCCCTGCTCTCGCCGCCGCCGATGACACACGACCGTGGCGGGCAGAGGCGATCCACCGCCGTCTGCACTGCGGACACCAAAGGGTTCCGCTCGGCCTGCGACCTGCGATATACGGGCGATGGGTCGCCGACGACGGCCACTTCGCCCAGTGGGAGGAACGGGAAGAAAGGGCGAGGTCTTACGGTGGATCTTAACAAGTAAGTAGACAGATGACTATTGGAAAAATTCCTGAAGTAGGTAATTGAATCTAAAATGTGTTTTTTTTACCAAAATTTAAAACGAATAGTTAGGTATTAATTGTTTACCAACTTTTGGATGCGGTCTCAATATGGGGAATTTTAAGATATACTTTTTTACCTTAAGGGGGTATTCTACTGTAGAAGCATGAATTTTCATTTGTTTATTGATATTTTATTATTACATAAAAAAATATTAAAAAAAAATTAAAATTCACAAAGTTATGAGCAGTCGAAGTGGGGGCTCAAGAAAAAAGAGGGTGTCCAGGCGTGCATGATTCCAACCCTCCTGGTGATTTGAAACATAAAAAATAGATAGATTCTTAATTATTATAGATAACGCTATCGTATGACCCTTGGATAAGTTATGGATATATTTTTTTATGTTTTTTTAACAATTTCGAATTTTTTAAAAATACTAAATGAAAAGTTATAGTTTTAGGCAAGGTCTACGCGATAAAGCGATGTATAGAGAAGATCCTCTCCAAATTTGAAGTAAATCGGTTCATTAGAACTCGAGGTATCCTTACCGCAGAAAAAGTCCTTTTAATGACATATTTTTGAATAACTAAACTTTGAAAATATGAAAAAAAATTTTTTGCAATTTTTTCAAAATTCTACAGTAGAATACCCCCTTAAGCAAATGACAATTTATTACGATTGCAACAAATTTTGTTGGTGGATTTTTTTTATAAAATCAAAGACATTTTTTATGTAACTAATTAAGTTTATTCTGTAATGTATTTTTCTGTTTGTATTTCTGTAATGTATTGTCCATTTAGATCAATGACTTTTGTCATCTTTCAAGTACCACTTTCATAAAGCTTCTGGTCTTTCCTTATCTATGTTCTGGTTTTTATTAGACAAAAATGTGAATCTGGTACAATTTGACGAAACAAAAAGAAATCAGAATGTACCAAGTCACTAGAGACATTATTCTAATTTGAACATTTTAAAACTTTGAAATTTTTTAAAACCGTTCACTTGATTTGAGTTAAAAAAAAGATTTTCACAATAGGGTAGTAAAGGGTAGTGGAACTTTTTTTATTAATTTTTCAGGTCTAACTAAGGGCCGCTTTGATTAAAATTTACCTCTAAAATAAAGCACAAAACACACTAATTAAATAAAAAAGAATAACATTTCTACTTTAAGCCGATGATATAATTTATTAGATTGGCAACTAAGTAAGTGCAGATTATTGTTTTAAAATCAGATATTTTTTCATCGATCTAATTATCTTTATTCTGTAATGTATTGTCCATTTTGATCATTGACTTTTTGTCATCTTTTAAGCAGCATCATTATCTTTCTTCCATAAAACTTCTGGTTTTAATCAGCAAAAAACTTAATAAGGTGCAATTTGACACTATCATTATTAATGATTTTTTTGTAATTCAAGAAGTTTTGTAAAGAAACTAAAAATGATCAGAAGGTGCAAGCTCACCACTGTGTGGTGGATATGTAAAAACATCCAAATCAAGATCCAATTTTTTCCCTAGTGGCCAAAGTTATGTGATATCAATAATGGAATAAAGCACCGTTTCCATTTGCCAATTTTGGCTACTTTTCTTAAATTGCGTTGTTTAATTTCGTTAGTTGTTCACTGTAGACATCAGAATTGATTGTTCTGTTAAGTGGAAAGGCAAAAGTACACAATATCTTTGTAATCAACTTCAACTGAACGACCAGAGTGTTTTTCATCTTTGAGTAAAAAATCACCAGAATGAAATTTGGCAAACCAATTTTCATTTTTTAACTGATGGATATTGAAAACGTCTACTATTCATTAATAGAAGGTATTTCATTTGGAGTACATCAGCATACCTAAAAATTCAATTGAAAGCATCTAAGATTCTAAGCTGACAACCGCATTGACTTAGTTGCCAACCTAATAATTAGTAAAACTTTAGAATTTTATTAAGAAAAATAAATCGTTGAAAAGTTGTGGTAAATATAAATAAAATATTTGAAATACATTTACCAGTATTTATCTTTGAGAATTAATGACTGCCCAATAAAATTATATTGATAAAGAATAACCAATTTACCACAAAACAAATTTCATGTTCAAATTTATCTATTTATATATAATTTAATTTATTTATTTAAACATTGTGTAGCCTAAAAATTCAGTTATCAGGGGATAAACCCGTGAATTGCTAGTAAATGCATTTGCTGAATATGTAATAAAACAAAGTATTTAGTTCTATGATGTAAAATTCAACAATGCATTTAAATTCAGCAATAAAACTATTTTTGTATGACTTTTAGTTCTTGAACACACATAAAACTTGTTTGTATCAGCTATATACGTTGGACTAATTATGGTAGAAAATTTGAAATATTATTTACCAAAATAATATGACATTAAAATGTCAAACATTGAAATACGTAATTGCAACAATAAAAGCCTAATTGTTTGAATATATTATAATAAATGATTTATATACCTATTAGATGTTTTTTTGTAATTTGAGCATTTTGGAACTTTGGGAATTCTTTAAAACGGTCAGTACAGACAGTGTAAAAAAGGGTAGTGAAACTTTCTTATTAATTCTTCAGGTCTTTTTAAGGACTGCATTAATTAAAATATACCTCTAAAATAAAGCACAAAATATACTAGGTAATTATTATGATGCCAAATAAAAAATAAAAAAGAATAACCTTGTACCAAATTGTTCCAAAAATTACCTGAAAAAATATTCATCCAAGCAAATGAAGTTTGTATAAAGCAATCTGATACAAAAATTAATTAAAACCATTTTCAAAATTTACCTCTGCTATATAGCAAACTTAATTTCAAGAGTTACAAAGCGCAAGAGTTAATTTTCTGTATAAACAGGAATGGTAAACAATTTCCGGGCACTACATACTGCGGTAAAAGTTGACGTTCATCTCATTTAAGAATATATAAGAAAATTAAATTCTTGATGGGGGGAAAACACTTGGCTTCAGGGGAAATTGATAAAACATCACTTTTGAGATAAAAATATTGAGCAAAGTGCATTGTTTACAAGGATTAAATAGTTTACCACTATACTTTAAATTTTAAGAGATGTTACAAATGTAGCAACGGAGGTTTGCTCATATAACTCAGTTTTTTTTTTCATTTTCTTCCTAGATCTGATAATGACGTCACGAGAGCTGCCTCTATGTTATATTCAGAAGATTCGACAGCAACAGTAACATCTTCATCTAATGATTCTTCGGCAAGGCAGAGCAGTTTGGAATCCAATGTAAGTGTTCTTAAAGTTCATCTTATCTATAAAAGCATTCTGGAATCTAACAAATGCCCATATAAAATTATAAATCTTATTACCCGCTTTGTGAGAAGTGGATCTCTATACTATTTGCTTTTTCTTATTTCTACTGACGTATCAAGTGGAACAAGTTGGTTGTTTTCCGCAATGGCAATTGCGGAAAAACTACCATATAAAGCGTTTTGTTTTATTTTAACATAAATATTTTGGCTACACACCAAAATGATGCTTTACAGCATTAACTATGGATATAGATATATTTTTATAAATGGAGTTTTTAAGATTCTTTATGTAAACGACGGACTTGGACTTCAGATAACAGTTTTTTTCCAATATATTGAGAAGTGTTAGAAATATAGGTACTGAAAACTAATCTTGCTTCTAATTTTTATTCAAATTCAACTTAACAATTCAAATTCTATTTATTTTCAATTTCACTATTTTTAAATTCTACTTCATCCTTTTATATCTATACAATTTCATATTAACAATTCAAATTCTATTTAATAGTAAGGGGCCGTTCAAGTTACGTAAGCACTATAGGGGGGCGGGGGGGTTGTTGATTTGCTTATTTCGGGTTGACATGGGGGGCAGGGGATGATGATTACGTCTTAGGTAGTATTTTTATTTTTTTACATTAATTGTAAAATGTTTACGTAAGCATGGGGGTAGGGGGTAAGAGCTTTGCTTACTTTTGCTGACAAGGCGGATGGGGGGGGGGGGTAAATAATTGTATTAAATCTGCTTACGATACTTAAACGATCCCTAACTCAACATTTTAAATTCTATGTTATTGCCAAGGATCGATCCGAAGATCGCTGACGCAAGTTGGGCACGCTACTGAATGAGCTATTCTGCCACATAGTTGAAAATTTCAACTAGAAATTGTTAAATTTATTTTGTCTCGAGTAGTTTGAAACCACAATTTCAATTTAAGTGTGTAGAAGTTTATGTTTTTGCCAGAAAATTCCATTTGCTCTTTTGTGGTTTTTCGATGTATCACGCTATTCTGAATTGTTTGGTACCAAAATTGCGTGTATGTTTGAATTCTTCGAATAAGGTTGCTCACTTGCCAGCAGACAGAAAACTATAGGTACCTAGTTTAGTATGCTTTTGGACAGTCTGATATCAAGCAATAGTGAAAATTTGGATATAATTTAATATAATTTCTAGTGAAAGTAGCCTCTCTGAATGATCAGTATTGAATAAAAATATCATAATGGGAAATAAAACATTTGGCTGCTTTCAATAATAGCTCTCACAGCAGGTTTTAGAACACTTAGTTAGTTTTCATAGCTGTTCAAAATCTATAAGCAAACATTTAGTATGCACATCAAACACTTATTTAGCCATTAGATATCGATTTTTGCACTTTTCCTAAAAGCATATGCATTAAATGTTTATTATAATGCATACTTAATCCAAAATATCTTAATTTAATATTATGATCACACTATCTCCACTGGCTAGGTGTTTCATGCCTTAAACGGTTAAGAGCACTGCCTTGTGTAGGCAGGGTTGTGAGAACTAATCCTGATCTGGATAATCTGATATTATGCAGTAAGTATTGATAATAGCCTAGTTCGGGCACTGCGTTGTGCAATGACAATGGGAAATTTCTCCCGTTATTCTTCTCTGAAGCAAGTTGGAGTTTGACTTAGTTCACAGATCTGCCCTAGGGCAGTACTGCCCATTATTACTATCCTCACTAATTATAACTCTAATAAATTCCTTCATCAGCGTTTCACCTTCTGACCACGACGAATTCCCAAGTCAAACTATTATCATTTATCACATTTTTAGTCATCTAAACATTTCATCGTCAGACCACAAACTTTTCATTTGGAATTCAGGATAATAGCGCCAATCAAATCAATTATGACTCGTTGTGATTAGCAAAAAATTTGCGTTCAGTTATCTCGAAATTCGTCAGCCACAAGCACAATGTGCGAAAATGAGATAAAACTCCTAAGTGCGATAACAAATAATAAATACGATTAACCGACTTCACTATCTCTAACCTTGGTATTTGTGCTCAACTAAAAAATATATTTCCAATATAATCGCGAATTACGGATTTAGACTTCAGTCTAAACGTTTCGTTGCTTCGGAGTGTTTGTTTACATTTTCGCGAGTAGTGAAGTTTTCACGATGGAATACGTGCTTCTCAATATTGTGAACATGTGTGTAAACATGCTAGTGAACACGTCAAAAAAACTGTAATATTATTTTCTATATTTAAATAGTTTACGCTTCTCAGTTGTACCAGAAGTGAAGATGATACGAAATGTAAAGTGATCGTTCTTTATTTTTTTTAAGGATTTGGTAGATAAAGTAAAAAATTCTGAACGTCGGAAACTGGAAACATTGAGTTTTTCAAGATTTTCCCAACGAACCAATCTCGTTTATTACGATTTTTGTATAATATTTTTCTAATGCACTAAACGGATAGTTGTCATATTTCAGAATATCATACACTCCGGATAGTTTTAGTAAATCATTACTATTTGACTTTGTCAAATTATTTCTACGTGTTCCATTGTGGAGTAGTGTAAAAGATAGTGTAGCCTAGTAATTTCTAGTCTCAGGTTCGATACTAACCTTTGCCAGCTGAGTATCAAGCAGTATGATACCAAACTTTCACTTAAGTACTATCTAGCTGGTCTACCACAATCTACCACATAACTGGTAGATATATAAAAACGATTTTCCAGAACTAAAAACGGGCCTTATTCTGCCAAGTTTAGTATGGAGGATAATGACAATATGTTTCAAAGTGGCTTATTATGCGGAAAATCGTTTAAAGCAAAATCGTCTCAATATGGCTCTATGGCATAACTTTTTGAATCACCACATTCAGGAGATATTGCGTTTTTTATTGGTGGATTTTGTTACAAATATTTTGAACACACTGGGTTTTTCCAGATTTTTTGACATTTTGTAAATTTTGTTTATTATTGCTTATTCAATGTTTTATCTTCGACTATTTGTAAAATACAGTATATCTCCGAAAAGATGATTTCCCATTATTATCTAAAGATTATGTAAGATAGGATTAATATATATCTTAAAGTAGCGTATTAAGCGGAAAGTAATATAAAGTGTCTTAACGGGGTTTTATTTCATAAGCTTTTAAATCATCACATTCTGGCGGCATTCAATTTGGAATTGGCGTTTTTTTTATTATACTGGTAGAAAATGATGCTAAAAATACTCTAAGTATTTGGAAAGAATAATTTAGTTAGTAATAAAACTAATTAAAAATTGATAATTTTTTACCCACATAATAAAATAATTATTATCGTTATGAACGCTCAGAAATTTTTGCTTCAATCAACAAGGTCCTTTGTGTATTGTGTGATGTTTACCTGAATTAAATTAGCAATTTTTAAAAAAAATCTCGGATTTATTAATTTTGAATTTTGCTCAAATTTTGTACTATGATGAAGGTGCAGTATAATAAATCACACATTGCTAGCACATAATCTAAAAATTTCATCTGAAAGCAAAATGGGTTGCCTTCTCTGGGTAAAAGACTGAGAATAGTTCTGATTGCTGTTCAAGTATTTGATAAATATAATTTTTTTTTTTGACTTCTGTAGAATAATATTGAATATGGCAGTAGTCTCTACATACAAATATCTTTTAGTTGACATTCACATTGTTTTGACATATGTTATTTCAAGAACATCAATAGTGATATATTAATATCCATCAGACTGAAGTTGCATGACAATACCGATTACAACTTTATGTGGTTTTAATGTTATAGCAAAACTATTTTGGTAAACACTTTTATTAGTATGAATTATCAATGGAACAAATTGGGTTTATGATTAAACGCGAAAATATTTACGGAATTTTGCGACATATTTGGGTGCGGCGAATAATTGAAATACGCGATTAACATAGTTAACTTATTACATATGAGTTAATTTTTTTCTGAAAAACAATGAATTCTGAATTAATTTCTAGTATATTATTTTTTATTCTACTTACCCTTCTGAATCTGTGTATTCTATTTTAATTACCTTTCTACCTCCTTTCAATTAAATCGAAATGATGTAATAATATTTAATTACATAATATAAAGTATCATCTGTATATAGCTCGATGAAAAATCTGGAAAATGAAGATATAAGAGAATGTAATACTGAGATAAATCGAGATTGCTTTTCTTGGAAATTGATTGTGTAACATTTCAATCAATGGCAGTGCATGTGTGACACCATGAAAATTGTTTGCTGACGAATCAACTGTTTGTTCTAGCCATACTTAATCCTTATAATTCCTCAAGGGTAGGGTTTCGGTATTGCCTTGATTAAAATTTATTCATTGTTATTAGTTATTTTTGTAAAAGAACACGTGTGTGAATAAAATATATTTATTTTCTTTTTTTAATATCTAAACTATATATCTCAATGAATATCATGAAGATCTTTGTACTATTATTTGTACAAAATACTTTAATCTCTTTAATATTTTCAATTTAATTGCTCTGGTTTGTTTTATTATAGTATTGAAATTAATTAATACTGAATATATTTTAGTAGCAAAAAATGTTACCTTGTGATTAATAGGGCATAAATTGATTTTCTGAACAAAACGAAGGCTTAAAATTTTCATGTAAAATTCACCCCCAATTATCTTATGGTTTGTTTTCTTTGCTATTATTTTTTAATCAATTATTCAAATTATATAAAATGAACCTCAAATATATTTGAATAAGCGAACATAAATTCATAATAAAATATTGATACATGATTTAAAATACCTTTTTAACCCATAAATTAACCCTTTTGCTACAAACCATTGAGCCATAGTCCAATTCAGTAAACTGAAGATACTGAAGCTAAATATTATTTAAATAAAAGAAATATTTTCAATTAGTCTTGATGACAGTTGTTTATAGTTTTCGTTTTTTGGTCCAAAATTTTGGTTCATTAATCACGTGATTACCTTTTTAGGGTTTTTGAATTCCCTCCTACCCCTTGGTAATACGTGGACCTATTTAAAATTAACCCTCCTTCCTCATCCAATAGCACGTGTATTTTCAGTACGTAATTTTTGGAAATATTTTGAAAAATTTTAGATTATTTTTTCAAATTCAGGTGAAAAATAAATACCATGTACTAGACCCCCTCCCTCTTGTAATATTTTGTGATTTTTTGTCAAACCCCCATCCCCTTTCAAGCCTTACATAATTAATGGATGACTAGATATCTCTTTGAATTGCCTAGATTGTATCCCGATGTCATACTAAATAGTTTATTTTATTCTGGTTTATATTACAATTATTACAGTACATAGCAACAGCTCTTTAATAGATTCTAGTAATAATAATAAATGGTAGTCTGCCCGAAGGCAGGTCCATGGCGTGAGACCACCACAAATAAATGATTCCCTTACCCTTCGTCTATCATTCCCATTACCACTACTCCCCCTCGCCTTTTTTTCATGTAATTTTTCTTTCGAACTTCTTTTGCTTCTTGATCCTGTGCTTCGGCTTTCAGTTCCCTGTATTTTCTCTTTTCGCGTAAGTCGTCAATCGTCTGCATTCTTCTTCTTCCCATTTCTTTCAGTCATTCTATTTTTCAATCGACGACGACTCTTTTTGCAGTAAGAGTCCGATCCAGTTTCTTTTACTTCTCAGTAGAGTCCTCTTTCACTGAATCTTCTCAGGATTTCTACATTTGTTATCTTGTCTGTCCACTTTATTTTTCTAGATTTTTTATAGCTCTATTTTTAAATTTTATTCGAAATCTTTCATTCTTTTATGAACAATATAATACAGTTGGTTTTATTACAACCATTACTCGTTTCTCTACTTATAATCCACTTCTCGGGTAGGTGCATTGATCTCTATAGTAAATAGTGTAATATTTTCTCCTGGTTTGACCTTTGGGTCTGGTTTAGATTGCATTGCAATGCTTATGGGATTAGTGTCGTCCACGGACTACACTTATAAACCTGCCAAGAGTTGCAAATCCTTCAAGTTCAACGGATTACTTGCAAGTGCGCAATCAGCTTATCTTCGGATTTTTCTCATTCTTATTGGAACGAGTTGGAAATGGAATTACATTGCCTTCATATCACATGACATTTAGATTTATTGTAAAGGACACATGCTTTCTAAGATTTATAATTAAATGGGTAGCAAATGGTAAAATAAAATATATTTGATGCAATTAGACAAGATAAAATCAGTACCTAGAAATATATAATTAAACAAAATTATATTGCTACGTTAAAAAAAAAAACAATTTCGTTTAAGGTAAATTTCAAAAATTTATGATAACATACAAAATTTACTCCAAAAATTTAATTTTAAATATATCATTATTAACACGAAGTATACAATAAAAGTGGCTAGTCTAATATTACCACAGTGTTCTGCACAAAGATAAATAAAATATTATTTATTTAATGAAGTGCAATGAATTTTTTCCAACGTTAGAACTTTTAGCAAACAATATTTATATCACTTAGAGTTAAAAGAAAAATAAAAGCTACCAACGCAAATAATCTTTATGAAATAAGTTCGGTGAATTATTGAACTAAGGTAAATTATTGAAACATGCTTTGTGTAGATCTAGAAAAGTATCTCTATATATTTATAGAACTAAATAATTTCATTAGTCTATCTATATTGTTTGATTTTGCAAGTAAATTTAAGTTAAACCATTTATTTAATATATTTATATTTTTAACTAAAGCCAAAGTTGACAGTATTTTCGTGAGACTTATCAATAACATACTTTTTTTTTCAAGATAATCTTCAAACTGTTTTAAAAAAATTTATAATATCTCAAGGTTTTGTGAAAAGTCATATTAATTTTCAACATCCCGTAGGGTATTTTATAGCAATTGCAAAAGAACCGAAAATGAAAATTTTTATATATCTTTACGTTTCAGAGGTTTGTGAACATTTTGGTATTCCTTAGAAAAAATAGATGTTTATGTGTGTGCATATGTGTTTGTGTGGATATAAATTTTCGTCGATGATTTTGCGAACACGAATCAACCGATTTGGATAATTCATTAACATTAGATTCCTACTGATAAGAGACGTGCTGATTAGTTTTTGGCAAAGACAGGTCTAGCCGTTTTGGAGGTCCGGGGCAAAAGTTGCCAAAAATTGCATTTTAGTTTTTGAGATAACGGAGCGCCCGATTCATATAATTCAAAAAACATTTCATCAAAAACAAAAACACGAAATGAACTGGTAAAATTTTTGTGAATGCAGGTTTAGCAACTCCGGAGATCAAATAAAAAAAGTAAAAAATAATGTCACGTTAGATTAGATTATAAATAATTTAGTTTTCGGTACGGGAAGTTCCAGCAATTTGCCTTAAGGAACGTTGCCATGCACCACTAGTAGTACTTCTTGTCATCTAGTAGTATGTCTTGTCATCTAGTATATATTTATTTTTTGTATAATTAGCAGAGGATGAAATACGAATTAGAAAGATATCCGACAAGAATTATTAATGTAAATACATCATTTTTCATCCTAATTTCTGTCAGTGAACGTTTTTCACCGAATATCGATTTTTTGAGCTTATGAAAAAGCTTATGAAAAAGTTATCCAACTCTAACACTTACTTTTTACAGTATTGGAACAATTGTTTTAATGTGAGTTTGAAATATACATGCATGCAACTTTCAATTTTCCCTTTCCTACCATACTCCCAATTTTATTTAATCATTATCCTTAGTGATGATAAAATACAAATACGCACTAAAGTATACTTTATTCTTGAGAATATAATGTCGATGTATGATATGATCGAAGATATAATATAAATAATATAGTTTTCTGTGGGAGATCGCGTTTCGATAACAGATACCACCGAACACCGAACAGAGCTCATCCATTTTCGTATGAGCTCATAAACATGATATTACGGCATTATCTCTCTCGGGAAAATGCGAATGCCACAAATGAAATTTGTCAGCCATATGGCGTCGACAATAAATAACCAAATAAAAGCATTTTTATTGGATTAACTTATCGTGTTTTAGTTTTTTTTTCATATCGACTTAATGCTATTTTCCGGATGGCGTCATAGAATGAATTGACTCTTTAGACAAGTATTTCCCAACGTAGGGCGCACGGAGAAGGGCAATTTCTAATTTCAGTAGGGCCAATTAAAAAATGGCACGACTTGATCACCCATTCATTCGCTTTTGAGTTTACAATTTAAGGCTCGATTTCGTATACAAATAGACAAAAGTTTTCACTATTGTCTATGATTATTTTTCAATTTTTTTTTCTACATCTTTTCCACAAATTCTTCTAACAATAAGTTTTTTTTTACCAAAAATTTTCTACTACCGAATTGATTTAAAAAAATCAAAAACTGTTCGAAAGATATTAGTTAGGAATGATACTGATTAGTTTTAAATAAAAATTTACCGAGCCGTTTTCTAATTGACTTGAAAAAAAAAATTAAGCCGATTTATATGGAACTGTTTTAGCGATATATATCATGGTCTTATAGAACTTACTGAAATATTATGGCCTCACGACAGTTTAATTTTAAAAATTCATCAAAGTTTGAGAAAATAAGTAGTTTTTTGACGTTTGTTAAACGATTTACTTGGTATAACGATAGAGGACTTGGACTTAGTGAGCATACTAAACCATTAAAGTCCTACGGAAACTGGTTCAATTATAAAAATCATTGATTTTTGAAAATTTGCTTTTAGAAAATACTCAGAGTTAACGCGTTCGTTCGTTTTCATTTATGTGTAATAAATCCACTCGGAATACTTTTAATCAATCACTCATAAATTAATTTATTTTTTATTAATTTGATTATTTACACATATCGGGAAGTTCATGTAACTTACCCCAAGGCAAAATACCAATACCAACTAGTTTACATTTTTTTTCAAAAATTATTTTCATAGGTTTTTGCATTTGCAAAGGTTATGCTTCTTAAATATGTCATTTTTCATAACAAACACTAAAATTTATATGTAAAAAATTATTAAAATCTGAATAACTGTTAGGAGGAGTATCAATTTATACATCATTACAGAAGAAGTTTATATATAAGATAAAAATTTATTATTTTGATGTAAAAAGATTTCTAGAGTAATGGTCTTGTGTGATGTCTAAAACAAAACCAATATACAATAAAATAGTCAACCCACATTAAATTTTTCATCTCATCCATGCAATAAGTTTTTGTATTTTTTTAATATTCGACTCGAAAGTTACATTTAATTATACTATTTCTTTCGGAGTTCTGATCATTTCAAAGTGTTTGTTCAATTAAAACTTTTATTGTAATTATAAAAGTAGGTCAATTACTTTTGGCTATCTGATGGCGGCGTTATTACCATTCGGATTTTATCTAACATTTATACTTTCTATCGCTCGAGTATTTCTTCACTATTATTTCTCATTTGAAGAGATGCTGGATAATTGTGCTGAATAATAAATCAAAAACGGATCATGAGGTACAAATCTCATTGAGATCCAACACCAATTAATCAAATTGAATAAATATTTTTAAATCTTATTTTGACTTTCTAAATTGCTTGTATAGATTTGCAATGAAGATGTGTCAAATAAATACTTGAAACTTCTATATTTTTTTTAGAATCCTAGTTTTTCCAAAAATTTAATGGATGCCTGAATGAAGCCAACACAATAAATAATAAAATTTTATTATAATCTTTTCTAATTTTTTTCAGGGTTCTCCTGGCCCCTGGCCTCCATCGAATCCTAGTCAGCCTCCACCATCTCCTGGACCTCGTTATGCCCTGCTGCGTGAGGCAGATGTGCAGGTCTGCTGCCTCAATCATGCTAGAACTGTAGTTTCTAAGGTTTTATCTTCTAGATTTTTAAGGCGATGGGAAACACTCAGGCTGAGGTTGAACGATGCTGATATTGAAGCCGAAGAGGTGAGTGGACTATTTTTTCATATTGGTAGTAATAATTAAATACGACTCAAGTTAAAACAAATGCGACTGATGTCAAAAATATCAAAGTTTAGTGTAGGCATTTTTAAGTTTTTCATTTTTGATGTTTTTTTCAAAAAACAATGAGAACTTAAGTGCCCTAAAAGCTGTTATGATGACACCACTAAGTACTTTTTTAGAAGCCAAAGTCTATTTGAAAGATTTTATTTGAATTTCTCTAATTGTGATGATTTTTAATGCCGATGCAGCATTACCAAGGAAAATCTATCTTAACTTGGACTTATAATTTCAAGTGGAAAGCTTTATCAAATCACCACTGCTAGATATCAGGCTCTCCAAAATAGTTATCGAACCTTCTTTTGAAATGCCAATGCTCTAATCACATAGCCACGGGGTAGTTTTTGTTATAGTGTGAAGTAAAACCAAAATGGTATGCTCAACTATTCAATTCCTATGGTCTAATCGACCATTGGTATTACATAGTCCCTATGTAATTAGCAGAAATTTTATTTGTACTATTGTAGGATTTAAGGGTAACATTTTCCATGTGGTCTGAGGAGGCAATTTATGATATTGCTTCTCACCATATATTTAAAAAATTCGATCGATATGGCAATACAATTCATCGCCAGTCTCATCATGTGACTTCTACTCTCAATGTCCAAATTTAGTCCTAACTTTTTCATTCGACTATTGATCCATATGTCGTTCGTTGTGAGTCATTTCATGACATCATTAAGGCAGGTGACAATATAAGTACACATCGTATCAATTGTTTTATGCATAAATGTTCCGCTTTAATCTATTTTAAAACTTCACATCTAGGAGAGTGATCTGCGTCATTCGCCAGATAATATATCTTCATGTATGCAAATCGACCATTGGTATTACGAATGTCGAATTAATTGTTGGAGAAACGCTAAAAATACCGTTGAAGATATAGAGTCGTATAATAAAAAATTTAGTTTTTGCTAGAAATTCTCAAAATTTATTGTTTCATATGCGCGACTTATAATTTACCAGAATTGATGTCTCAATCCAACGCTCTTTATTTGGAATATAAAACACAACATTCGTTCGATTATATTTTTATAATTTTGTGGTTTTATCTGTTCATTATGTAAAGCAGTATTTTAGATACAGATGACTAACTATGACTATGAAAGCTAATGAATTATTTATTATTTACGTCAATTTAATTAGGTTAATTATTTATTATCTTTAAATGCTTTTAATGATAATGATGATGGAATCTAAATGTACGTAATTAGTAGTAAAATAGGACTTCAATGTACTTTATTTTAATGGAAGGTAACCACCTAATTATCACTTTAGTAATGTCGTACCTACTCTTTGAATGTAGGATATATTATTCATCCTTGATTTTTCTTAAATTGATCCTTAAACCGATTTTGTACAATTTCTTACATCCTTTATTATGGTCTACTCAAAAATATTATTACATTTTTTAAAAAATATAATAAAAAATTATGTTGAATTATTTTTGCTATTTTAATTGCAATTTATGTTGTCACTCTATTTAAAAGTATCATTACAAATAATTTTGAAGTTTTAAATAACCTTTACAAAGAAGTATTGGAAATCAAAGTTTCGTGCATAAAAGAACTTGTTTGAAAGTCAAACAAAAATATTTAACAAATATCAAACAAATTTATTTTAATTTCTGTTAAATGTATTCCATTTATTTATTTAAGTCGATGGCTGCATCCTGAGAAACAGCTTTTATTATTCAAAGTTTATTTGCTTTGCACTTGTTTTGACGTTATTTTGCCATTAATATTTTTCTGTTTTTTTATATGTATGTATATTGCATATACGTAGTTTCCTGTTTTTAAATAAATTTATTTATTTCATTAACGCACCTGCCTGAAAATTAAATCCGTTCGCATATTGATTTTATGCATAAATATTTAATAAGTAGAAAATTTACATCCTTAGTTAAAAACAAATTGGAAATAATCTATCAGATATAAAAGTGTGAAGTAAATATCAATGTTTTAAATTATGAAGTGAAGTAAAAAGTTTGAAGTTCAAAATTATTAACAACTGTAGGGGAGAGTGGGTACGGTTGTGCCAGGGAATGGCAGTCGTCAAAACAGCTGAACTATACTAATTTTGAGATAGGGTCCAAAGGCAGAATGATATATTTTTTGGAACAAGTTTCTATTATTGCATTGAGTCAACGCACTGCATTGACATGATTTTGTAGTTGTATACAGATAGATCACTTTGTTCCATATTTTGCTTTTTCGAATTCCCAGGACATTTGTGACACACGCCATTTTTTCATATGATATGATTTTATGATTACAATCTATCGTATTTAAGAACAGTTTTTTAGTATTTTCATGAAAACAATTTCCTTTTTTCCTAGGGAACTGGTAAATTAACAAAATTATTGCTGATCATAAAAAAATAGCACAATCGTACCCAGTCTCTCTTACTCGTTTTTTTCTTAACGATGAATTTGCTAGTGAATGAAAAAATATACTTTACCTATTTAATCTGCATAAATAACTAGAATTATATTGTATCAAGTCATATATGATTACATGACTTGTAAATTTTAATTATTATAATCAATTATCAATACTAATGTTTTAATTATTTTACGCTGACTTGCACATAAATCATCTATAATAATTTTTTTTTAATTCAGTGACAATCTCTGAAGAATTTCATTGTTAAAATGACAATTATTATAACTTATTTTTAAATCAGACTAGTGGTGCATGGCAAATTGCTGAAATTTTCCGTACCGAAAACTAAATTATTAAAAAAAACTTTGCAAAACTTTGAATAAAATAGATTTTTGAGAAATTTGGAATTTATAAAAAAAAATTAACATTTTTGACAAAATTTTGGACATTTTTTTTAATATTCTGATTTTTTTGAAAATTTTGGACATTTTTTTCAATATACAGTAAAATGTTTTTTGAATTATTTAAATCTGATTACTACTTAAAACTGATATACCATTCTCGGCACATTTTGCCCCGTATCTCTGAAACGGCTCGACCTTCCTTTGCTAAAAACTAATCAGCACGTCTCCTTATCTAATAGGAATCGAATGTTTTTTGAATGATTCAAATCGGTTGATCCGTGTTCGCAAAATCGTCGACGAAAATTTGTATCCGCACACACATACATACATCCATTTCTTTTAAGGTATGCCAAAATGTTCAGAAAACAGAAACGTAGAATTATATAAAATCTTTTAATTTCAATTTTTTTGCGATTACTATAACTTACCCTACAGAAAATTAAAAATATCAATAAAGCTTTTGAGACTCGGATTATTTTCTGTATGTCAAAATTTTAGAACGATGTTTCTCTTATTTTGAGAAATTGGCTGTGATAGAGTCGAGTATAAACAGATCATAAAACAAGAACAATAATGTAAATTTCCGTTTTGTCTTTAGTCTGTGGAATCTAAAAATACCTATTCCTTCTACATATAAATGTTTGATCTAGAAATGTATTGCATATTTTTGCACATTCATCATTTTACTGTATGTATGTACTGTTTTGTTATGTTCTCACAGGGGACATATAAAAGTTTTCAAAATATCCCACAGAGTTTTAAGTACATATCTAATGGAGCTTTTATTACGCTTGATATATTAAATTACTTACTTTTTATTACACATGGTTACATAGACCGGGATATGTCACTTTTCATCAAGTTAGTTGTGGCACTCTAATTACATGCAAAATTTGTAAAAGGTATACTTGTAAGTGAAGGTAGAAGGCTAAAATATTATATTTTTTTCGAATTTTTGACAAAAATTGTATATTTATTTTACACTGGTCCTGAAATGGATTACAACGTAAAACTTCTGATCATTATCAAATTGGGAAATTTGGAACTTCTGATGATTTCAATCTCGCCCTGGTGGTGTTGAGCCATAATTCTGTGGCAAGTTGGTTTAGATAATCCTGGAAGCGGCTTTTGAAATTGACTGAATGTGTTCGTATTTCATCGTTTATATTTATGTATTAACCAATTTAGTCATACTTTGGTGCTTTTGATATGTTTGGCTACCAAAAAAGTTTTTGTAAAGTTGTTACTAAAAGTATTCGGCAGGGTTCTGAAGATTAATGCTGAACAAGAAAATAAATTTGCAAAGCATTTATTCCTTCGTGTCAGATCTACTATATCTGATTTACCCGAATGAAACATTTCACGGTCGATGATTGCACACAGTGTTTTATTAGAGATTTGCAGACCGAGTGAAGACTCAGTAAATTGTATATAATACTAATATATGGGTGTGACGTCAAGAGCGGACGATTCATTGTCGCATAATAATTCAACATTCTTTCATCTTGCTTTATTTTACAGGCATGCATTTGATAAACAAAAAATTTAATTTAAAAAATTTACTCGTTTTGTTTTAAATCCATTCATTCTGCTATCTGTTAATGGAAGCAATCAGCAGAAATTGTTAACAATGTATGAAAAATCGATAAGAATATAGATATGCAAATTGGAATACAGTACTCATTGGAAAAATTACTAGGAGAACCTATAATATAAAAAAATAAAAAGAAAAAAATATATAATTAAAAATATATGTACATATGTATACATACTCATATATACGTATATGTATATATGAGTATGTATATATATGTACATATATTTTCAATTATAATAATTTAAAACAAATTTTATAAACAAAACGTCGCAATTCATAGAATATTTATCTCCTAACGACATTTATTTTTCAACTGGACCCTAATCCTTCCTTTCCTATCTGATATTGCGTGACTAACCACTTGAAATTGAATAAAGAATTCGGACACCGACGATCGTTGGGCAGAAGATAGTATATTGAACGACTTGTAACGGATAACACATAATGCTAATTTAGGTTTCCATATTTTAAATTATAACACACTGACGATGAGACAAACCTAGTCTCGAAACGTTTGTGAAAATTATTATTTAATAAATT